GGCCGGTGGCTCGGTACGCGCCGCCCCGTCAAGGCTGCCGCTAGGTGCGGCGCTCCCACCTTCGAATTCTCCTCATCGAATTAATTTCTTTCTGTCGGAGTTGCATTCCCTTCTGCGACCTGTTTTTTGCGGGGGACTTCCTGAATTAATTTTAGGGGGACCTACCTAGAATTAACTCTTCTTGTTGTTTTTTTTTTTTTTTGTTGCTTGTTTTTTTTTTGTTGTTTGTTTTTTTCTCCCCTCCTTTTCTTCACAGCTTTTGGCTGCTCTTTCGCCCACAAGACCCAAAGCTTCGTTAAGTTTTGTAACGCTACCGCTCCTCTCGACGTTGCCTCCAGAAGCGGTGCTGACCGCCTTCGCTTGCTGTCTGCGCCGCCGAAATAATGTAGCGGAAATGATAGACGAGCCCAATGCAGCTGGTAACCTTCCCAGCCAAAAGTAAGACCTGGCGCAGGTTGTCTGTAAAATTTCTTGGTAAATTAGGGCGCTGTCCCGCGATTTTGTGCCCCTCGGATGGTGGGGCAGTCTACAATGTGTCACTTCAGGTGGGAGGGAAGAAAAAAGGGGATTTCCACTATGTCTTGTTACTAATGTTTTTGTTTTATTCCCTTTTATGTATTGCTTAGCTTCTTCTTGATGTAGTGTTTTATGCTGATTGACAGGGACCCTGGCCTTACAAGCTTTTCTGTGCCTTATTTGCTACAGTGCAAATGAGCCTACTTTGAAAAAAGATATGAACAGATTCATAGTCAACGCATGTATTCGCTTCAGGGGTCAATTTGGGGATGCTGAGGGGGAAGAGTGCTAAGTAATCTGTAGTCTCTCTGTTGGCAACGAGGGGGGCACTGCTTCTTTATATTTGTGTTTTTCAGGAATACGTCAAGTCTGTCTTTCATAATGTATCTTTTCAGTCATCAGTTGAGATGATCTAGAAACCAAATTATTCATATAATTGTTTAGAGAATGGGTTTTGGAAGTAGAAAGAGCAGATATAAATGAATAAATGATAAAGTTGAAACACTTGGACATGTCTGGTTTCAAAGAGTGAAGCTTCTTAGATGTCCAGTGTTGTACGCTTTGGACTCATTGCAGCCTAGCCTTGGTGATCCTGTCACCTTCTGAGCAAGTCTGCTCCAGGTCTTTTGCTACATTAAGCTCTAAGGAAAGCTGAGAGATGTATTCCTCGTAGTCCATGATGACAATTAATATAGCTTCCCTGATGTCCTTTCCAGTATGTTTCATCTGAAGCCAGCCTCTTGGTTTCAGAAGTGTCAGGAAGGCACCTGGCGATAGTTTAACTGAGCTTTTTATGTTGCTTCTAAAAGATAAAGCAGTTGTATTGAAATCTATAATTATAAAAATCTACAGGTAGGATTCTTCCAGTACCACAGATTGTTTCTTTTACACAGCTAAAGGAATATATTACATCTTTGTTAAAGAGGTAGCTTTGGTTTTAAGTGTGAGTCACTAAAATCTGCTCCAAATGTTTATTAAGATGACGAAACTGAACTCAGAAATTCTCACAATAATATTGCATTTGGGGACTAGGTGAAGGATTTTGCTTCTTCCCTGCTTCAAGTGGTTTTATCTCATTGGTAATACTTCAAGCGCTAGTGAAAGGGAAGGAACACATTTCTCTCTATCTATGCAATTCTGTGAGCCATATGTAACCATATGTAGTATAAAGGTCAACATTAAGATGAGGTAGGAATGGAATTCTGCCTATGCTTTCTTACTGATTGCCGATGGAAACAAAGTAAATGGCTGAGAACTGTTTCTTACCAGTGCACGAGGCGGTGAATTTAGGTATACAATAATGCTCGGTATGGCGTAGACTAACAGGAGCAAAAAAACTCCAACAAAACCTAGTTCAAAATTTGACAAACCTGCTGTTGCAGTCCAGTAGTTGAAAAGGTGTTAAATGGAGTTATGTATAAGCAATCACATGTTGTGGTTTGGGCCGGACTGGCTGCTGAAACAAACAACAGATGCTGTCTGAGCTCTCTCCCTTCAGAGAAGGAGGGAGTATCTCCCTTCCGGGAGAGGAGGAAGAGAGAGAGAGAGACTTACGAGTTTAGAGAAAAACTAAACTACTTTAATGAAATATTAATAATAAAATAATAAAAAGAAAATAATTAAATATATACAATATATATAAAACCATATGTAGCTCCCAGGATGATGATCACATCACCGCAGGCACTGGGAAGGTCCCAGACTGGACTTGGCAATGGATGGGAACTGGATTCCAGATCTGGATTCAGGAATGCATGGATTGGGATCAAAGGCAGATGAACAGACAGAGTCCTCCTTGGACACCAGCCATTGAAGAAAGAGGGCTGACCCTTTGATCCTTCAGCTTTTATACTGAGCATGAGGCAGATGGGATGGAATACCCTGTTGGTCAATTTTGGGTCACTTGTCCTGTCCGCTTCTCCCCACAGATGTGACCCCTCTACACTTTTCTACTTCTGACCCACCAATGGGGCAAACAACAAAGTCAGCTGACCTTGTTTTTTACAGCAATAAGTACAAGCAAGAGCCTCTCTAAATATCATTCCTTGGCATAAACAATACATAGGTCTTATCACTCTTGGAGCAAACAGTGTCTGAACAACATGCTGGTAATTTCAGAGAGTTCAGTTGGTTAGAAGAGGCTTAACTGCAAAGTAAAATTGCTAAACAGAAAATTAGTTCTGTTTTACCTCAAACCAGGATACGTCATCCTCAACTAGGTGCAGTGGTTCCTATTTTGATCAAGAAGATAAGAGGATGTCTTAATTCTTTTAACAGTTTCTTCAACAGAACCTTAGTTGTGCAAATAAAAACTCCATTAAAATAACTCATTTAATTTCTAAGTGGTTTCAAGGGGTTCATTTTCTAGGCTCTGGTCTAGTTCCTGCAGACGTTTAAGTACGAGTATTGATAGAATCTGGAATTAAAAAAAATCTCTTCTTTTGTGTAGGTTGTTTGTTGTAGCATGGTGCTTCCTGTGGCATTGCTGTGTGCTGTGGTGCACTGATAACCAAAACAATTCAGCAACTAAATGGCTTTTTAGTAGTAGTATTTAGTGCTTAGTTACACTTGTTGAACGTTTAAGACAGATGTTTGGTGCATGTGTGAAAGTCACTCTAACTGGTTTGATATGTTGTTTTACTTGGCATTGTTAGCCCAACATGAGGAAGCTGTAGATCAACGTTCTTCTCATCCTTGCAGGTTTTGCTGAGCTTTGGTAGGCGTGTTGTTCTGTATACCAGGCATTCGCCTACTTTGTTGAGCCCCTTTTGCCACAGGTGCATTTTGCCTGGCGTAAGCTGACGAAGTAAGTAGCACAGGGCCAGTAGATGCCATCTGTAGTGCCATCCTTCAGGATGTTCTTGGGAAAGTGACACATGAGTTAAAGCTTCAAGGAAGTATATTCTAGACAGAGGTATTAAAAGCAGTACGTGATCAGACAAGTGCTTGACTGAACTGTCCTGCAGCAGTTCTGATTTTTTCATTATTTAAATGCTTTAATTATAGTCACTGTAATCAAATGCAATGCGTTTATTTTCATTATAGGATGGAGTAAGTCGCTAAATAGTACATGCAAACAATTCAGGAAAATTGTTTGAATGTGTGTTGAGTGTTATGTTGAGGTATAATGCGGAAAAAGGTAGTACATGTTACTATGATGTTGGCTGGCATCTCAGTTGTACTTCTAGTGAAACCGTGCAAGTTAGAACATGTTAGTCCAAACCCATAATGTTGCATTCTTCTTTGAAGTCATGAGTGAAAGGATTTAATCACATAGGAGAAGCAGCTCCTTGACAAACATGTTTGCATTCCTTTTGTTTATTTGTGGTCTGTAGAAGAATCTGGGAAGAGCTAACTGGCATCAGAAAAGCAATACATATTGCTATCTCTTGCTGCTTGTTATTTTCAACTAGGAAGTCTCTGGTGGTACTCAAGATACTCAATCTCTGTGGCTTGCACTTACAAATCAAAGAAAACATTTGAAAACTTGCAAACTATTACTTATAGCGTGCTGACTTGGTTGGGAACTATAGTTCATCTGTCTCTTTTCTATAACATGCAGAAGTCCAGACAGCTGCTGAAAGAATTGGTTCGTCCTGAATTATTTTCTTGACTTCCATCTGTCAAACACTGTGGCACATTTTTAACTTTTCTATGACAAGATGTTCATTTAATTTAACTTTTGTAGGACTTTTCTCTGTAGGGAACTTAGGCATTTGCACAATTGTATTTAGACATTTGATATGTTTTTATAGAATTTTATATTTATAGGAGTCTTTGGAAGCCTGATTCTACATCTCTTATGGTGAAATGTCCCAATAGATTCAACGAGTAAACAAAGATGTGTTTAAATAAAAACTTCTGTCTGTTCTTACTAACAAAACATCAGGACCTGGGTCCTGTAGTTGATGCTATTCAGCCTCAGGATTTGCTTTGCAGAGGCAATGTCTGACTGAAACAGCCTTGGAAAGAACAACAACAGCAGTTATGTGGCATTAGTAAACCTAGCCGGGGTCGAGCTGGCTCTGCATCTGTAGCACAGTTAATTCTCCATCTGGGTTAGCCAACACTGGATATTGGAGAGTTGACTATATCTGACAGTGTAATACACTGTTCTTTTCTTTGTAAAGTGGTCACTTGTGATGGTACACACTCCTGTTGCAGCAGTATCATGAAAATAAAGTAACTGTACACTCTCATATTTGCTTTCTTTTTGTGCCTTCTTATAGTACAAGTCAACTGGCTTCATGTCCTGGCCACCGTAGTTTAAAAGGAGGCCATAGCAGCCAGCTACCAGTACTGGACCTGCTGCACAAGTGGGATCCAGCTCGTCTGCTCAAACATGACCTTTGGCAAAGCATATTGTTAGCATTGGGAATGATGAAAAGTGGCATGATTTCATTGCAGATAAATGTATGGCTTCAGATCTCCCAGAAGGTGCATCTTTATTTATAAAATTATTCTTCCATCATATTAGCGGTGACCTGCAAATGAAATTTCTTATGTGTCTTTTTTCTTCAACGTGTTTTACAGACAAAGTAAAACAGTTTCTTCCTCTCGTTTTAAATTGTAGACCCATCAAATGTGATTACCATGTTTTGTTTAGAGCAACCACAAAGTGGATGCATACTTGTGTTATTGATTCATGGTGCAAAGCCCTTAAGTCAACAAAAGCTGCCTTAAGTCAACATCAGCTTTCTATTTCATTTACTTACTTTCTACTTCCTTGATATCTTTGATAGTTTTGCTAGTTTTCTAACTACCTGTATATCTTACAGGAAAGCCAGTAGTTTGAAAAAGGCCCAAATTTCTGGTGTACTTTTAAAGTTAGCTGTTTGGTTTTTAGTAACAAAATCACATAACTTCCAAATGATTCATTAAAAATATTAAAATACTTACATATGTTTTTATTTTCTTCTGTTGTTTGTACTGAAGTGTGTATTTCTGTGCTCTCACTGCTAACCCCTTCAACATGTTTCAGAGAGAATGCTGTCTGTGATGAGACTGTGCCTGAGTCTGCTGTGCAGAATGGCAGCTGTGTGAGAAATGGCAACCTGAAAACACCAGTAAGTTGATTTTAAATTTTTTTTACTATTTTTTTTATTATTACGGAGTTGATTTTCTGTCTCATTCAATTGTTACAAAATTGAGTATTAGATAAAAAAATCGCGATACAGTGCACCTAAATTCTAGTCACTGGTTACAGCTTTACGACCAAGTTTCATTGGCATCAGAACCTCAACGCTGGCTTTTGAACAGTCAGTTCACTTCAGTGTGTATTCTTCCTTAGCTGTGCATTGTACGCAGCTGATGTTAATTTGCACGTTGTGTGTTTACCCTGTGAGTGAGAAGATGTAGAAGAGCTTCTGCTTGCTGTCTGTTCTTCAGAAATTACAGCTGCCACTGAAAAATGCCTTCTGGGTAGTACACAACTGTTCAGAACCTTCTTTCCTGCTATAGCTTCCTATGCTTATGACTCATTTTTGAGGGAAAAAAAGTCAAACTGATAAACCCTTTCTTTCGTCTCCTTCTAGTATGGTCATGTTTGATAAGGCTTTATCAATGTCCTTGAAGCTTAAAAGTTAGCACCCTGGGGAAATCCTTACAATGAGAGTAAAATAAACTTGTTATTAGGGGATAATTCTCGTATCTGTGAATGGCTGTTACGTGTTGCATTTTCTCACGTGCTTTCTTTGCTTGACTTGTTTCAGAGAGAGAAACGGAAGGTCCGAGAACAGTGTGAAAACGTGAGGAGAAATTCTTCCAGTAGCAGAAGAGTGAGCCAGCTGCAGAATGGCGAAGTGGTTGAGGCAGTTACATTGTTTGAAGTGGTTAGCATGGGGAAGCAGGCCATGCAGGTATTTCTAGCTCTGAATTCTGAGAGGAGTTGGTGGAGGGAAGATGGATAAACAGTGTTCGTTTCAGTTAGTTGTACTCTGAAGTGTTGAAATTTCGTTATGTTTTGGCATAGGTGGGGAAGAAACACGTTTGATGGAAAAAACTGTTATGAGCATGGCTGTTGAAAAGAATGCATCTTCAAGAAATTAGTCAAAAACTAGCTGTCAGATACTTAAAAAGAGGAAGGAAATACATACCTAAACCAGTCTTCCTAAATCAATGTCTGAACATGTGAAAAGGGAATTATTTTTAAAAAAATACAGAAAAGGTCCATCACTAGAAAGTTTTGGTTGGTCAGGATTCTGAAAATCAGTCCTTTTTTTGTTTTTTCTGGTAGCTTACCTTTTGGTATTTTTCTTTTACCTCTATTCCAATGCAGTTTGGCAGCAGTTTGCATAATAGTCAGGTTCCCTGTGCATCTATATACTTTATACACTTAGCAACTTTCTTCAGTGTGAGGAATCCCACCTCACCATACTCTCTGAGCATATGTGTATATTATGTTTGTATGAGTGTATGAATGATTAAAATCTGGAGCCCCATGTATTTTTATACAGGGTTATACATATGTCTCCACTGTTTATTGTCTGTAAGCAAAGTGTGTGTGTGCATACATGAAAAGTACATTTATATTTTGGATGTTAGACCTTAGTTTTTCCAAGATGTGCATGTGGGTGGACTTTTGCCATGCTACAGCAGTGTTAACTTCAGCAGAGCTCCCTGAAGAGCTCAACTTCTGCTCTGCAAAGCGGCAACTTGAGTCTAGGCTGCTGCTGCTAGAATTCATTAGAGCTGTGTGGCACTACCGGTGGGTTGAAGCCTGGATGGATTGTCCCAACGGGCCTGTGTCACATACAGGCTGTAGGCTGGACTGCCCTAGAAATGAAATTTGGAGTTGTTTTTTTAGCTTAAGTGTAATATGTGAACTATTTCAGCCTTCTGCACAAACCGGATACTAGAGAGAACTCCCAGGGACAATTGCTGATATTAATTTAATATTAATTATTAGATGGTGCAGAGGTTAAATGCGTGGGTTGTGTTTTGTTTTGATTTGTTTTTTTTTTTGTTTAAATTAAATTATTACCTCAGTGCTGGCAAGAAATCAGAAGGATGACGTTTTGGTTTTTGTAAGCTGTGGTTATTTTCCCTGTTAACGGGGAGCAAAGCATCTGTGAATGGCAACGGTCCTAGAGCAGAATGAGCAGTTCAAGACTTCATTTTGCCCCAGAAGGAGTCTTTTGCATGTACTATTAGAAATGGAACAAAATGGTGTGGAGTTTATTCTCATTTTTATAATTTAATGGAGATGCAACAATGTTAGTTTGTCTTTATTATGAATGTCCTCAACGGCGTGCAGCATGCTATGTTCAGCTCCTGACTAATGAGTTTCTTTAATCTGTTCTAGTCTGTAGTAGATGACTGGGTTGAAGCTTATAAACAAGACAGGAATGTGGCACTTTTAGATCTGATCAACTTCTTCATTCAGTGCTCAGGCTGTCAAGGTAATTTACCCTCTTAGTAGCCTTTTTTATTGTCTGTGGGTGAGAATAGTCTGAAGTGTGCTTTCTAAAATATATTTTTTTATCTCCAGTAAATCATGTAATTGTAGTCTGTACTGTTTGTTAAGACAAACTCCAGATGCGCAGGACTAATAGCAAAGAAAGTTGCTGGTTAAATTCTTTGTGTTTACAGCATACCAACTCTCAGAGTTGTATTTGAACATGGTTTGCAAAGTCAGGTTTCTGAAGTGGCATGTCACATCACTTTGCAGAATCCCCATGTAGGGAAGATGGCTTTGATGACTGTTCTAATTAAAATCCAATATCTCAGTTGCCATTTGCTTTGTAATTTCCTAGTATCCTTTTGTTTTGCGAGTATCTTTCTTTGAAAATAAACAACTAGCAAATTAAGCTACCCGCTCTGGTGGTTAGAAAAGCAATCTCTTGCCTCATTGCAGTTACTTTTACAAGAGGGTTGTGAAGTTGTCTATTTCATAACAAACATTGAGACACAGTGACTTCTTGGGACAGTTTGCTAGCAAAATGCTTCAGGATGTCAAGAAAGTTTTAAGAAGACTATTCTGTTAGCTTGAAACTTCTGAGTGTATTTAGGCAGCTAAAATGTACTTTTTTACACTCCAAAATTTTTCCCAATAATATGCCTTCTCTTACGTAAAATGTTTTGGGGTTTTAGACTAGCAGTGGGCAAAATTTTAGTAAATCCTTGAAGTAGATGAATGGACAGAGAAAATAGCCATGCCAGACAGCACAGGGCAGATTTCTCTAACATGAATTTCGGGTTTGGTTCATCAGTATTTTCTACTATAAGTGAATTTATGTGTCTCCTTATATATATGTTGTCTGTACTGGTGTAAACAGAGTTGCCTTTTCTTGGTGTTTCTAAATTTGAAATAAAGTCCTTACTGTGGTTTGGACTTGATTAATGTAATACGGTTGTTGGTAATTCTTGTTTTTAAAACATTACTTTTCCAGGCATGGTAACAGCAGAGATGTTTCAAAGTTTGCAGAAGAAAGATGTCATGCAAAAAATGACAGAGACCTTTGATGAGGTAGGCACAGCTTTGATTTTGCATGTCTTTTTTTTTTTTTTCTTTATAAACAATTGGCTTTACCTTAATAGCCAGCCTGGACAGAGTTCTTGCTGCTTATCAGGAGCTGTGTCCCATTTCCTTAATTTAGGAAAATAATCCTGTTTTTCACAAGAGAAATTTGATGTGGTGATGACCCATTTTAGCAGCAGCAGTATGAGGATTTTTTTTGTAAGTCACTTTTATTTTCAGAGTTTTATTAGGGTTATCTAACTGTAGTCTTCCTGAACCTGGCTTTCTCCTAGGAGTTCTTTTGATAGTGACTTGATAGAGATAAATATAACCCGGCATTGCAGCAGGCAAATGGTTCCTGAGGTATTTGGTTGATAGGTAAATACTATTGTGGATTACTGATGAGCTCATTCAAAGATTTATTTGAATCTTTTAATTCTGTTTTACTGACAATATGATTTTTTATGACTGTATTATGTCGTATGAAGGAAGAAAAATGCATTTCTGATTTTTAGATAATTGTCAAAACAGTAGTGAATATCTTATTTCTTGAGGATTGTTAAGAATAATACATAGTTTTACAATACTGTTTCTCTATTTGACTCCTCCTTGACTAATTATGCCAACATCAAATTTTCTGCAGTGCTTTCACAGTTGCTTCTGTGCCTTTTTTCTGTATTTGCCACCTCTGAATTGATTTGTCAAGCAGCAGCCATCAGTCTTGCTTTAATTGAGCATCTCTCACAGACCAGCTGCTGTAGAAATTCCCACAGAGGATGAATTTGCCAAATAGTTTTCTTCATTTTAGAAGTGTAGTAGCACTTGGGCTAATATTTGACAGAAATGATACGATATGTGTCTGGCCATATGAATTAGTAATCTGGCACTTCTTTCCCAACTAAATTAGCTCTGAACACACTCACGATAGGGTAGGTACTCTGGAAGGTACGAAGATGTGATTGTTGTTATCATCAGCCTGGATGTGTTACAGCTCTGTAACCTTTTCTCCTGTCCTGGTGGGTAAAAAGGATGATTCTACAGTTGCCTTAGAAGCTGTATTCTGCGTCCTATATAAACAAAGTAGCTTGTTTTGGGGGCATTATTTTGACATATTACTCTAGTGAAGCATTTTACTGATGGAAGGAAGTGATAATCCCTGGGCTAGATACTCTGTGTCTCTGTTTTTTTGGTTTTGGTGGGCTTTTTTCATTTTTCTTTGATTCTAAATCCAGTGAATTCTGAAATTCTTGGTCTGTTTTTAGAGAAACTTAAGCTAAAATGATTTATGATTTAAATGATTTATACAGAATTAAGTATTTTTAAAGACTCTGTGAGCCAACACAGGTAGGACGCAGGAATG